ATGTGAGGGATCTATGTAAAAACCAAAGACTAAGCTAAGCGCTTTCACTCCTTTTGGCTATTGTTGAATATTTTTATTATTCTACTTTATAAAGAGCCAGAACATTTTGCAGTTGTACAGTTGGAACAAGTAAAAAACGAATGGACAATACATACCTCAGATTTCCAATTAATAGATCTTTGGAAATAATCCTGACAATCATGTTGCCAACACATATTTATTTTACAATTTGCACTAAGATGTACTGCAGCAGTCACTGAACTGGTATTTTTATTGCTTGTTACAGTAAGTATGGTTCTACCAAAGATCCAAATGTTACAACCGTTTTGTTGTAAATGGGTTTATGTTATGGGAATCCATTGCAGCAATGATTTGGGAAGTGTTTTTTGATAACAGACTGGGATTACTCAAGCAACAAGCAAGGTATTACGAGACCTCAGAAGGGAAGGGTTACAGCAGGACGAAGCTCGGGAAAGACGTAACACACTGTCCATTTACAGATTCATGGAAAGGCATCACTTTGAATGTAAAATAGACTTTAGAGCATTGGCTTATTAAGTGGACATTATAGAGCTGGAAACAATCCAGGATTGGGAAAGGGGGAGGGAAGGAATAATGTTTCAGTTTTTTAAATCAGTCTCAGGTATTGTTTACTTACAATTAAGAAATGATACCTGTCAGTCGATAGGATTATTTTATAAAGACATATTTTAGTACAAGGTACTCTATGGTCATCTGCTGACATTATGGGAAAATGTTTCACCTGCAACAAACAATTTATTTACTGTAAGAGCAGCGCTGTAGTGGAGATTACTGCCAAGATAGTGTCGATGTTCTATACCTTGTAACCAGTGGCAAAGCTCTGCTGCAAGAATATTTTTGGGCCCAACTCAAGCACAAGAATGACTAAGAGGTAGATTCCCATCTGATATATAAATCCCCACAGTGCTATGGCAGCTGGGGACCTACTATTTGCCCATCCCTGCAGGGTTGTATTTGTGAGCAGTGTTGGTGCGTTTGAATGTATAGAATAAGTGTTTTTGTATAGAATACGTGTGTGCATGTAAGGGTATTTGTATGTACTGTTGCCAAAGGAATGTAGTGGTAATGTGTTTGTATTTAAATGCAGGGATATGTTTGTATGTAGTGTTGGCTTTTAAATGCAGGTGTGCTTTTGTGTCAGCAACAACATTAAAACCACTGATGGGTGAAGTGAATACCATTGATTACATTGTTACAATGGCATCGGTCAAGGCATGGGATATATTAGGCAGCAAGTAAACAGTCAGTTCTTGAATTTCATGTGTTGGAAGCAGGAAAATTGGCAATCTGAGTGACTTTGACAAGGGCCAAATAGTGATGTATAGATCAGATGACTGGCTCAGAGTATCTCCAAAATGGTTGGTACCTACCAACAGTGGTGCAATGTAGGACATTGATCCATGGCTCATTGATGCATGTTTGGAGCAACGACTAGCATGTCTGGTCTGATTTCACAGGAGAGCTACTGTAGCTCACATGACTGAAAATCGTAATGCTGGTCATGATAGAAAAGTGACAGAACCAACCGTGCATCACAATTTGTTGCATATGGGGATGCATAGCCATAGACCAGTCCGAGTGCCTATAATGACCCCTGTCCACTGCCAAAAGTGCCTTCAATGGGGACGTGAGCTTCAGGACTGGACCATGGGGCAATGGAAGAAGGTTGCCCAGTCTGATGAATCCTGTTTTCTTTTAGGTCAGGTTGGGTTCTTGTGCATCATGATAGAAAAGAGATGGCAGCATAATACACTATGGGAAGAAGACAGGCCAGCGGAGGCAATGTTATGCTCTGGCAATGATGCTTCCAGATGACAGTGGGCTCTTTTAGCAGGATAGCGCACTTTGCCATACTGTAAACATTGTTCAGGAATGATTTATGGAACATGACAGAGTTCAAGGTGTTGAATTGGCCTCCTAATTCCCCAGATCTCAATTCAAAAGAGCATCTGTGAGATGTGCTGGAACAATAAATTCAATCCAGGACTTGCAGGACTTATAGGATCTGCTACTAATGTCTTGGTGTCTTGGTTACTGGTATTCATAAAGCGCCATCATATTCCGCAGCGCTGTACAATTAGTGGAGAACGTACAATATACACAGACAAATACATAAGCTGAAATCTAGCCATTGAAGCTCTTTTATACAAAGTGCTTAACTAGATAGCCTGCAAGCTTTATATAAGAAGGCGGTAGCCTGGAGTTGTGGGTGGGGTTATCCTGCCTATTTATTCTGGACCCCCACAGACCGTCGATTTGCTGTGGTTGCAGTGGCTCCACACTTCTGGTGTCCAGGCTTCTGACTTCTGGATTCAGCATTTCGGAAGAAATCAACTGCGAACGACAGCTCTCGACAGTGAACGAGGGCCTGTGTTTGCAAACAATGGCATTTGGTCCTTCCGACAATGGCATTCAGACTGCAAAGGTGTACTAAATCCCCATATTCTGTTGATCTTTGGGTGCTTTTTTATTTCCCTTTCGTAATTCGTACATACTTTAGTTTATGCTATAATTCCTAGATATCCCTCTCTGTACTCAGACAAGGAATTTTCATAAAAAAACATTTGCAAATCTACACTAAGGTAGGTATTAAGTTTAAATCAGAGTGGGCCTTGTTATTTTGTTCCTGGGTATACATCCACATGACATTATGTATATTTTGTTAGGTATCCCCTACCTCTCATTCAAGGTGACAATCATCCCTTTAACATTTTCCTACAAGGTATGTGTGTCTTGCTTATCACATTGGAATAGTTTGTCAATTTCATATCTCTCTTACACTTTTAGATTGCCTCAAAAGTTAGGTGAACTGGCTTTGCTAAATTGATTATTAGGTGCCCAGCAGATAAAACCTATTCATAGCTTTCTTTCCCTTAGATAAATCTAAGGGTACTTGTAATAAAATCAGCTTTCTATGGCTTCAACTTGATTCAATTGCTATGGAAGCTATCTTCAGGGGTAAAAGGTGCTATTTTCAGGATCCTAGATTACATGGAGATTTGTTTAATTCAAGGCTCCTGCACCAACAGGGAGGTCCAGTTACTGCCGGGTTCTCTTAATTTTTCAATTAGAATAGCAAAATCCTGCAAGGTCATTCTTTTATTTTCAGACTTCTGTGCCTACTACACAGTCTTCCTGATGATGTCAATACGGTAACACTTAAGGGCTGGCATAAGGATGTGGCAACTTTTCATAGCAAACTGGAATGGTAGGTCTGTGTTGATTCCCCATATTAATGACAGTTTATGATCACGATCACATGGCCGGAATAGCAGGCCGTACTGTCTGCAGGAGGACTTAGATTACATATATATACAGTTGTGCTCAAAAGTTTGCATACACTTGGAGAATTGATAATATATGTACTATTTTAAAGAAAACATGATTGAGCAGGCAACACACATTTCTTTTATTTCTTATGGGATTCATATTCAACTGTAGGTTATAACAAAACATGGCAACAAAAAAAAACAATGAAATGACCCCTGTTCAAAAGTCTGCATACCCTTACTTCTTCAAACTGTGTATTGCCCCCTTTAGTATCAATGACATAATGCAGTCTGTTGTAATAGTTGTCTATAAGGCCTCTAATTCTTGCAGGTGGTATAGCTGCCCATTCGTCTTGGCAAAATGCTACTGTTTGACACTGCACCCAGATGGCACCCAGAGATTATAGGAAACAAAACTACTAGCCCAAGCGATAGGTTTTTTTTTTTTTACTTTGGTTGCCTATTTAACCTACAATGCTGACCTAATTGAAGGCTGGCCAGATGCTTCCAGTCATTATTTTTTTGTCAATCTGTTTTTTATTGAGGTAGATTGCGCAGTACAACATAAAAGCATGTATAAAAGCTTAAGTACAGATATGTGATTCAAGGTGTTGCAAAACATCGTATAATATATGCCTAATTTTTATATGTAAGAACACATGAGAAGTAATAATAATACTAGCCCCTTATCCTTGTCTTTTGGGGCTCCTGGATCAGCTCCTTTTTCCTTATTATTTTATCTCTTATAATAGTAATACCAGCCTAGCATTGGCTAAATTAGGCATAGTTAAGGAAAAGGGTACATAAAATGCTAGGTCTGGTGGATAGCTCTGGATTGCACCAGTATGAAACAAATAAAAGTGCCTGGCCGGCATGCTTAAGCACCCTTTTACCCTGGGGTGTCGGGAAGGGGGTTGTATTAAAGGTGCACCTCATCACTGTGGGTTGCTGATGTGGGAGATATTATCGCATTATAAGTGGAGATCATGTAACTGAGTATAACAAAGATAGTTAGGCTAAGATAAGAACGTAAAAATAATAAAGCAAAATAATATTTAACTAGAGTCCGTGTGAGACCTGGAGAACTGCGGGAATTGTTCAACATCCTGCATTAACACAGAGCTGTCTGGATACTCTTCATCCGTCGCCTGGTGCTTTCCTGGGCGTGAAAGGCATTATGTTATCAATGTCCCATTGTGGAGATGAGGTGGAGATGGCCTATGAGGCTGGTTGGTCGAACAGGCTGATAGCCTGGTAGAAGCCATTATAAATTCCAATCTGTGTTCCTTACCCTCTCGGGTGACACACAGCATGCATGGGAAGCCCCATCTATATTGAATCCCAGTCACTTGTATGCGTTGAGTCACGGGACGGAGGGATGCTCTCCATGTGAGAGTGGCTCTGCTGAGATCCTTGTTAAAAGACAGTTTGAAGCCTTCAAAGTCCAGCGGTTGTCTGTCTTGAACGGCAGACATCACTGCCCTTTTGTCAGCAATGGATTGGAATGTCACAATCACGTCTCGCAGAGGAGCTGTCGTGGGACAGCGGGGACAGCCTACTGGGAACACCCCTTCAATAAGCATAGATTTCACCTGCTTAGATGGCAGTATAGTGAAGAATAAGCGTGTAGTGAGGTAGTTCTTCAGTGCCAATGTTGCTGCTCACACCTCTGATCTTCAGGTTTCGCCGATGCAAAGTATCTTCCAGGCCTGCCACACGGTGGGTGAGAGCTACATGTTCTTGTGTAAGCTGCTGTGTGAGTATGGCAGTGTTAAGTTGGGCCTGACGGGCCGTCACCGATTAATTCTCCACAGACTTCATGCGACCGGAGAGGGTATGTATGTCCTCACGTATCAGTGCGCAGTCTGCTTGGAACATTGTGCACAGTTCATGCGGAAGGTGTTTAAGATCGTCTTTGGTGGTCAGGGCACTATCGCCATCCACCTTTGTAGGTCTTTTATCCATCTTCGTAGTTGATGCCCGAGCTTATGGAATTGGGTCCGGAGCATCATACTCCAGTTCTCCAGAGGAGCAGGAAGGTGACCTTTGCGGTGGGGCCACCATCACAGGATCCCTCACTCCTATAGGCCGGGACTTTGGGGTTTTCTTCCCCATGCTGACTGGAGGCGGTAGGTGTTGACTGGGCTCCGGTTTGGGCTCTCTGGACGGCTCGAAGTGGGCTTAAATCAGCTTATCTCTCGGCACTCACAGGGAGCGTTACTTATTACGATGGCTGCTCACTCCGCCCCCCACTTCCAGTCATTATTATTGCAGCAGATATGGCTGCAATAGAGAAGAATATTATTCTCTGCTATGTCATGGACATCGGTTCTACACTTCCAACATTTAGCTAAATATAATGGGAGTTGCTGTCCATGGGCACAGCAGAGTAGTCAGTTGACAATTTATACCAAGATACTTTCCTTGCTGATGCAAACTAACAAATGGCTTCAGATGAGTTTATATTTGCCTTCCTTTGTATCAGCAGGTTTACAGAGGATCGTACTGTCTAAATCCATCAATTACATAATTAATCAGCATCTGTGCATGGTCATACTCTGCATCAATATATGTTGTAATGATTTTACTATCAACATACTCAGCATCATTGCACAGTGTGGCATGGTTAATATTAGCACTTAGTCATACTCAGCATCATTATATAGTGCAGTGTGTTTAACATTAGCACTCAGCCATATTCAGAATCATTACACAGTGTGGCATATTTCATATTAGAATTCAGTCATACTCATTATGCAGCTCAGCATGTTTAAACAGTCCAGGCATAAACAAAACCCTTAAATGTTTTATAGCTCTTGGCCTAAATAATTAGCTGTATTTTTTATGCTCAATTTTGTTTCGTTTTTGTAAAATAAATAAATGCATAAATGTTTGTAGCTTTCTATCATAATTTTTCAGGATTATTTTTCAGTACATCTTCTCACTTACTTTTGCTCCCTTTGGGTAACCCCCCTCACTAGCATCACATTACCCCCAGCTGGGCCTTATAGTCCTTTCATTTCCTCTAGCTGTGTGTGAGTCTGTGTGTAATGCGTATTAATGACTGTGTGTGATGATGTGGGCATCTGTGTGTGATGTGGTGCGGGTGATCGTGTGTGATGTATACAGGTGGCTGTGAGTGATATGTAGGGGTAGCTGTGTGTGATGTAAGCACGTGGGTATGAGTGATGTGTGTGGGTAAATGTGTGTGATGTATACAAGTGGCTGTGAGTGATGTGTAGGGGTAGCTGTGTGTTATGTAAGCAGGTGGGTATGAGTGATGTGTGTGGGTAACTGTGTGTGATGTATACAAATGGCTGTGAGGGATGTGTAGGGGTAGCTGTGTGTGATGTATGCAGGTGGGTATGAGTGATGTGTGTGGGTAAATGTGTGTGATGTATACAAGTGGCTGTGAGTGATGTGTAGGGGTAGCTGTGTGTTATGTAAGCAGGTGGGTATGAGTGATGTGTGTGGGTAACTGTGTGTGATGTATACAAATGGCTGTGAGGGATGTGTAGGGGTAGCTGTGTGTGATGTATGCAGGTGGGTATGAGTGATGTGTGTGGGTAAATGTGTGTGATGTATACAAGTGGCTGTGAGTGATGTGTAGGGGTAGCTGTGTGTTATGTAAGCAGGTGGGTATGAGTGATGTGTGTGGGTAACTGTGTGTGATGTATACAAATGGCTGTGAGGGATGTGTAGGGGTAGCTGTGTGTGATGTATGCAGGTGGGTATGAGTGATGTGTGTTGGAAACTGTGTGTGATGTATACAAGTAGCTGTGAGTGATGTGTGGGTGTAGCTGTGTGTGATGTGGTGCGGGTGACTGTGTGTGATATATACAGGTGTCTGTGAGTGATGTGTGTGGGTAACTGTGTGATGTATGAAGGTGTCTGTGAGTGATGTGTGTGGGTAACTGTGTGTGTGATGTATGCATGTGGCTCTGAGTGATGTGTGGGGGTAGATGTGTGTGATGTGTGTAGGTATCTTTGATACATTGATATGGCGGATTGTGTTGTATTTAATTTTATGTCCAGCCTCCCCTCACATTACAATATTTATTTCTGCGCACAGATGTTCCAGTAATGCTGCTCTCTGGTAGTCTACACCTCTGGCAGGTGCAGATCATTGTAAAGGCCCTTTTGCTTCGGACGAGCTGCAGTGAGGAGGTGCAGGGCTGGTCAGAGAGATCATTTGGATCTGCAGACCTGTTCAGGCAGACTACAGACCCAGGTGCTTTGTGCCCTTGCCAACCTCTAATGCTTACCTAATGGAGAATAGATGGATGATTGACTGACTGCTTTGGGTGTAAATAATTAATAAATAATTAATAAAAGTGGCGATTTCTAAAGAAACCGGCACTTTTTGTCAAATGAAAAAAGAAATATGACACTCATCACATATGGAACAAAAGCAAAAGAAGTGTTTTGTTTTTTTAACAGTAAACAAAATAGGGTGCGCAGTGTTTTTCTCACTATACAGCCACTTTAAAAGGATACTATAGGCACTTAGACCACTTCAGCTCACTGAAGTGGTCTGGATGCACTGTCCCAGCCCCCCTTTGTCCTGAAATGTAAATCCTACATGTTTACATTGCAGGACTAAGACTGCCTCTAGTGTCTTTAAATCACACAGCCACAAACAGCACTTCCTGCTTGCTAGGCAGCTCTTGGTTGCCTAACAGACATTCAGCATCAGTTAAATGAGGACATCCAGCAACACGCACAAACCGCTTGTGGCGAACAGAACCTCGCCACGGGCTTTTGGAGGAGCCTGCTTGCCAGCCTTCTGCCCTAGGACTATGGATCTGTAATAAACCTTGGTTAAAGGCACTGTTCGTTCGACTTGTATGGTTCAGTGTATGGGGCTTACCGAACAGATCAAACTAATGCTATCTGTATACCAAATGAACTGCCGAACGGACCGACCAACCAGAACATTTGTGTGCTACTTATTAACCTTCATCACCTTGTTAACCGCAACATTCTAAGTGGTTAGCTGGGTGGCCGCCATTCGTATAGCCAAACACGTGGCGGTGGCCATCTTTAGCCGCAAACACATACTGCGTGTTTTGTCGTCGAGTGCATGGAACTATAAACGGACACTCAACGCCGCGAACACCGCTGGGACTTCCACCTCCAGTTATGTTCGGTTGGATTCATATGAACTGAATGGCGGTCGGAGGGAGCATACTCCCGAACAAGATACACTGGGTTAGTATACGCATGAACAGCCCATTCGTTAGTTTTAGTGTTTCTTGTACTCCCGAAAGAGACCGACCGCACAGCCTTTCATGGAACTCTTTTGGGCAGGAGCCTCGTGTGCAGTCGGTCAAACTATGACTTCCATGGAAATCCTGAACCCCTAAACCGATCTGGGTGATTTCTGGATATGTTAGTCCCCCAGATTGGGTCTATCAGGGGATGTGACTTTTGTGGGGTTTCCATGTGGTTTTGGGGTACTTTCAGGAGGTTGTAAAATATGTATTTTCTGTGCCTGGAGATAAATGAGTTTAGTACAGTTCCTACCTCAATTATCTCCCAGACACAGAGGATGGATTATCTTGTTTTATGTGGGAGTGGCGTGGACCTGAGAGCCAATGTAATCGTGTGTATGTTTTTACTGTAGTCTACTCTCAGGTCCAGTGGGGAGTGCCCCTTGCATGGGGACCTGCATATAAGGCCAGTTGCGGCTGCCAATAAATGAGTTCTTGCTTACCCTCAACATAGAGTCTCATCTCATACGTGGGGGAACAGCTGTATCTGCTCTAGGGATTGCTATATCACTATACTCCCCTGGGTTATAATCACTTGCTCTTGTAAGAGCACCCTGCTCTACTCTCTGGCTAAGGAGAGGTCTACTCACTGGAAGCTGGATCCTGTCTTAGGTCCAGGGTGGGTGGAGGACAGCGAGACCCCAACCAAGTTGTAACTGTGGAAGTGGGGACTATGGTGGTTGTTGGTGCGGTGCCTATGGTACTCAAGGATTACTAGGAACCAGCGATTGGTGGAAGCACCCGTTCGGAGTGCCAGACGGTCTGTCACAGAACTTATACACAATTCCCCCCTTTGGATGACGGAGGAGGAGGTAAGCGCTGATCCAGCACCAAGGAAGATCAGCGGTGGTATCGGATGAGTACAGAAAAGGTTTTTTAACCCTTTTGATGGTGGGTCAGAGTGTGTGTGTGGAAGAGGGGGGCAGAGGAAACTATAGTCTAAGGAATGCTGAGTGTATTCCTTACATTATAGAATTCCTTTACAATTTCTCATAACTAAAGCATGAAAGTGCAACATGTAGTGCCATACTGTAAATAATTAAAAACAAAATGACAATAAACCCCATCATAAGATGCAACATACAAAATTAGATGGCTATATGCCGCACAGACAGCCACACTTCTGGAGGATCAGTCCCTCAGGTACGTAGGATCCCACATGAAAAGTCGACAGAGATCCTAAATGATGACAAGGTGGCTAGGTTCACAGTAATCACCTTTATTCCAAATTAAAATGATAAAACTAAGTTTGAGAGTAATGTTCCAAGTTGTGGCGAACTGCAGCAATTAAAATGTAGAAAAAATTCTGATACTATGTACAGCCTAGTAGCAACACACTCGTTTTACTACTTTTTTGTTAACTTTGTATCACACGCAGACCTCACCAACCTCTGCCTTCTCAATGTGAGACCCTCTGCTGCTCCCTGGATCCTGAAGTCACCACAATGCGTATTTCCACTTACATGCAGGCTTTCTCAAGTGTGTTTGTCCATCCTGTCTGTTCTTATATATACAAATACTGATCTCCTATATGTTAAAAAAAGTTATTCTCTCATTAAAATACTGAAAAAGATAAGCAAGGGGCAAGCATAAGATTACCGACATATATTTATCAGATAATCATCTAAGATTTGCCTTACATTTACAGGGGCACTTTAAGGGAGATTTATGAAATTGCAGCTGACACTTTTACATTTTGGTAATATTTGGCATAATTATCAATCTGTCAGGTTTTTTTTTTGTCTGTTATGCTCATTTTTGAAGATACGTATTTTTTTCTGGCGTCTGTAAGGATACTTGTGGATAAAATGTCTGACACAACACAACACAACATATTTGTTTGTCTTTCTGACACATTTTCCCCCAGTACATCCCTCCACTCAGCCACATTCTTCCCCCAGTACATCCCTCCTCTCAGCCACATTCTTCCCCCAGTACATTCCTCCACTCAGCCACATTCATCTGGTTGTGTGGTTTACAGAAGTTGATGTCGGATCTGAACTGCAACATTTCTATAGGCAAGAAATGTTTGAGTCTCTCTATTGAGCAGGAGTAGAGAAAAGGTACATCCTCAATGGCTG